GAGTTGAATCCCTGAATAGACCAATAACAAGCTCTGAAAATGAGGCAGTAATTAATAGCCTACCAACCAAAAAAAGCCCAGGACCAGATGGATTCACAGTTGAATTCTACCAGAAATACAAAGAGGAGCTGGTACCCTTCCTTCTGAAACTATTCCAAACAGTTGAAAAGGAGGGACTCCTCCCTAACTCATTTTGTGAAGCCAGCATCAGCCTGATAGCAAAACTGGGAAGAGACACAACAAAGAAAACTTCAGGCCAATATCTCTGATGAACATCAATGTGAAAATCCTCAATAAAATACTGGCAAACTGAATCCAGCAGCACATCAAAAAACTTATCCACCAGGATCAAGTTGGCTTCATCCCTGGGATGCAAGGCCGGTTCAACGTATGCAAATCAGTAAACGTAATCCATCACATAAACAGAACCAAAGACAAAAACCACATGATTATCTTAATAGATGCAGAAAAGGCCTTTGACAAAATTCAACATCCTTCATGTTAAAAACTCTGAATAAACTATGTATTGATGGAACATATCTCAAAATAATAACAGCTATTCATGACAAACCCACAGCCAATATCATACTGAATGTGCAAAAGCTAGAAGCATTCCCTTTGAAAACTGGTACAAGACAAGGATGCGCTCTCTCACCACTCCTATTCAACATAGTATTGGAAGTTCTGGCCAGAGCAATCAGGCAAGAGAAAGAAATAAAGGTATTCCAATAGGAAGAGAGAAAGTTAAGTTGTCTCTGTTTGCAGACTATATGATTTTATATTTAGAAAACCCCATCATCTCAGCCCAAAAACTTCATGAACTGATAAGCAACTTCAGCAAAGTCTTAGGATACAAAATCAATGTGCAAAAATCACAAGCATTTCTTTACACCAACAATAGGCAAGTGGAGAGCCAAATCATGAATGAACTCCCATTCATAATCGCTACAAAGAGAATAAAATACCTAGGAAATACCACTAAAAAGGGACATGGAGGATCTCTTCGAAGAGAACTACAAACCACTGCTCAAGAAAATAAGAGAGAACAGAAGCAAATGGAAAAACATTACGTCTTCATGGATAGGAAAAATCAAGATCGTGAAAATGGCCATACTGCCCCAAGTAATTTATAGATTCAATGCTATTCTCATCAAACTACCACTGACATTCTTCACAGAATTTGAAAAAACTATTTTAAATTTCATATGACATCAAAGAAGACCCCATGTATCCAAGACAATCCTAGGCAAAAAGAACAAAGATAGTGTAATGCCTCCAGTATATAGACTTTAGACTATACTACAAGGCTATAGTAATAAAAACAACATAGTACTGGTACCAAAACAGACATATAGACCAAAGTAGCAGAACTGAGACCTCAGAAATAACACTACACATCTACAATCATCTGATCTTTGACAAACATGACAAAAACAAGCAATGGGGAAAGGATCTCCTATTCAGTAAATGGTGCTGGGAAAACTGGCTAGCCATATGCGGAAAACTGAAACTGGACCCCTTCCTTACACCTTATACAAAAAATAACTCAGGATGAATTAAAGACTTAAATACAAAACCCAAAACCATAAAAACCCTGGAAGAAAACCTGGGCAACACCATTCAGGACATAGACATGGGCAAAGACTTCATGACAAAAACACCAAAAGTAATTGCAACAAAAGCCACAATTGACAAATGGTGTTAAAGAGCTTACACACAGCAAAAGCAACTATCATCAGAGTGAACAGGCAACCTATGGAATGGGAGAAAAATTTTGCAAGCTACCCATCTGACAAAGGTCTAATATCCAGAATTTACAAGGAACTTAAACATATGTACAGGAAAAAACATCATCAAAACGGGGACAAAGGATATGAACAAACACTTCTCAAAAGAAGACATTTAAACAGCCAACAAGCATGAAAAAAAGCTCAACATCACTAAGCAAAATCACAATGAGATACCATCTCATGCCAGTCAGAATGGCGATTATTAAAAAGGAAATGATGCTAGCAAGGCTGTGGAGAAATAGGAATGCTTTTACACTGTTGGTGAATTAGTTCAACCATTGTGGAAGACAGTATGGGGATTCCTCAAGGATCTAGAATCCGGAATACCCATTTGATCCAGCAATCCTATTACTGGCTATATACCCAAAGGAATATGAATCATTCTACCATAAAGACACATTCACAAGTTTGTTTTTTTTTTAAGATAGAATCTCACTCTGTCACTCAGGCTGGAGCGCAGTGGTGCAATCTCGGCTCACTGCAGCCTCTGCCTCCCGGGTTCAAGTGATTCACCTGCCTCAGCTTCCCAAGTAGCTGGGTTACAGGTGCCCAGCATCATGCCTGATTAATTTTTTGTATTTTTAGTAGAGACAGCGTTTCACTATGTTGACCAGGTCTCAAACTCCTGACCTCGTAATCCGCCCATCTCAGCCTCCCAAAGTGCTGGGATTACAAGCTTGAGCTGTTGTGCCTGGCTGCACATGTATATTTATTTATTGCAGTGCTATTTACAGTAGCAAAGACATGGAACCAACCAAAATGCCCTTCAATGATAGACTGGATAAAGCAGATGTGGTGTGTATACACTATGGAATACTGTGCAGCCATAAAAAGGAATGAGATCATGTCCTTTCCAGGAACACGGATGAAGCTGGAGGCCATCATCCTCAGCAAACTAACCCAGGAACAGAAAACCAAACACTGCATGTTCTCACTCATTAGTGAGAGTTGAACAGGGAGACCATATGGACACAAAGAGGGGAACAACACATACTAGGGCCTATTAGGGGATGGGGCTTGAGGGGAGGGAACTTAGAGGAAAGGTCAATAGGTGCAGCAAACTACCATGGCATACGTATACCTATGTAACAAACCTGCGCGTTCTGCACGTGTATCTCTTTTTTTAAAAAAGAAGAAAAGATTATAATGAAGGTATATCATGGAGTAGCTATATCATCTAGGTTTGTGTAAGTACATACTATGAGGCTTGCACAACAAACTGACGACATGTTTCTTAGGATGTATTCCCATTGTTAAGTGATGCATGACTGACTACACTAATTGGGATTTTATATGACAATTTAAACACTCACTTATAATGCTGTTTTCTTTTTCCATTGGCTCCAGAAGTGTGTGTTTCAAACCTCTGGATACCAAATTTGTATTCTTGTATCTTACTGAGTGTCGTAAAGCACAGTGACAATTGGCATTTTAAGACCTCAGATTTTAAAACATGGGTCTTTAGAGAAGTAGACTAACCTTCAAGAGAAAGATGAGGAATGCTCCAACTATTTGTGTCCCTATGGCTTAAAATGAGGGACATGAACTGTGCCAGTCATAAAACATGATTTATGGGATCTTATTTAGAGACCTCACAGAGTGCCAGCAAGAGGCCACCACGGATTACAGGAGGTGCCATTAGACCTCTACTTTCAGTGATGCTTTAGGCTTTCCAGGTGTGGAAGTTTTCCTCCATCCTCAGAACTTAAGCATACATTGGCAAAATAACGAAGAGGAACACCTAATGTTTTATATTAATGTTGTTCACTTCCTATGTGTAATCTAGAATATGTAGTCAGACTAAAAGGAATTCATTTTATTACCAAATCGACTATGTCTTTTGACTTATCAAAGCTCTTCTCTGGTACCAAGACAGTGCCTTTTTTCTTTATACATAAATGTTTATGTTCACTCTTCCTGAGCCTTGTATGGAGAGTGAAGTAGATGAGCCCATTGTTTTTTACTATAAGCTACCTACCCAGCATACTTTAATATTTTGTTCTTCTGGGTGAAGCATGGTTCTTGTAAGCTTGTATTCTTACCCTAAGGGTTTAATTTGCAGCGAAGGAGTAGGTAAATAGGATCCGACAAAGTAGGAACATTTTGGAAGGCAGGGAATTTTAACTTCAGTCTAATGGTCTTGTACAGGGTTTAAGAAACTAGTTTTGTAAAGGTCCTTGGTAAATGTTTAGGCTCTGCAGACCAAGAGCTGCAACTATCACATGCAGTTCATCACAGTTACTCAACTCTGCCACTGTGGTGCTAAAGCAGCCAGAGATAATGCATAAATAAAAGAGCATGACTGTGTATCAATAAAACTTTATGTACCTTGAGTTTCATATAATTTTTACAAGTTATGAAATAGTTCTTTTGATTTTTTTCTAGCATTTGAAAATACAAAAATCATTCTTTAACTCATGAGCCATGAAATACCTTGGGCCATGCTCTAGTAGTAGAGCTGACCCCTGTTCTAGTAGTAGAGCTGACCCCTGCTCTAGTAGTGAAAAGGCTTAAAACTCAGGGGATGGGGGGGAAATTATGCCATACATCAGTTTCTCTTCTCTTTCTTCTCTTATATAAAAATATGTCATTAAGCTGTGCCTCTCAGGAATGGCATGCAAATAATGTTTAAGACTGGATGGCATACCAGTGCCAGGTATTTTTAATACTTGTGTGTTGGAGTGACAACACTTGCAGCTAAACTTTCTGCTATGGTTGTTTTAAAACTGTACTTTAACTCTGGAGCATCTTTTTCTATATAATGGAAAGCCAAGGGTTTTCTCAGGATATTGCAGGAAGAAGAGAGTATTTTCTGGTTTTCTTCTCAGTGGTTTATTTCTGACAGTTTTAATACCTTTTTACAACTTATTTTCAGTCAGTTTTGTAAGCTATTGTTTTGGATTTGGCAGCGACAACTAAATGAGAGTACACTTTACAGGGCAGAGCGCTCGTGATTTTCTGGGGCAGCTGGAGTCTTGCTGCACAAGTGAATTTAATACTATTTTATTTTCCTGTTTATTTCTGAAGTGTGGCTCCTGTTATTTGCAGGTGATGATAATGCATTAAAGTCATAGCAATTGAAAAGAGTAAAATGTACACTTGATTTAATTTGAAAACAGCATGACTCTAAAATTTAAAATGCATTAATATGTTTGCAGATTGTTTAGAGTCACAGAAATATCTGTCATTTGCTTTATTTAAAAATTTCAGGTGGAGAAACCTTGCAGCGGTGGTCAAGATTTACTTCTTTATCCAGCTAAGAGAAAGCAGATTTTGAGAAGTGAACTGGACACTGAGAAAGTACCTCCATCTCCACTACCTGCTCCCAAACAAACACCACCGTTGAAAGGTGGTCCACCTGTTATGCCAGGAGACTTTAAAGAAAAAGTGGCAGAGCTGCTGGTGAAATACACAAGTGGCCTTTGGGCTAGTGCACTCCCAAAAGCATTTGAGGAAATGTACAAAGTGAAATTCCCTGAGGATGCCTTAAAAAATCTTGCCTCACTTTCTGATGTGTGCACCATAGACTACATATCTGGAAATCCCCAGAAGGCCATTCTGTATGCTAAACTTCCATTGCCCACTGAAAAAATCCAAAAGGATGCAGGGCAAACCCTTGGTGATCATGATATCAAGGCTATGGTTGAACAAGAGTATTTGCAGATAGAAGAAAACATTGCTGAAAGTGCTAATACCTTTATGGAGGACATAACAGTTCCTCCTTTAATGATTCCAACTGAAGCATCACCATCTGTATTGGTGGTTGAACTGAGCAACACAAATGAAGTGGTTATCAGGCAAGTTTCATTTTCTAATTCTTTAGAATCCTGATTTACTGTTGTCACTTGACTATTCTTCACATGGATGCTGAGGGTTAAAGGAAGAATAATATATTCTTAGTTCTATAGGGTGAGGCTTAATAATGTATTAATATTTGTTAAATCTTCAAAATATACAACTATCCTAAGACTACTAATAGCTTTAAAAATTACAATGATAATATGAACTTGAAAAAAAGATTTATGTCAAAAGGATGATGGTAACTATATTATGTCAAAAGCAGTAACTAGTTCACAGAAAAAGCAAGTGCGCCACACACTACATAATACTATTTAATCTGGGACTATGTAGTATTTCCTGAAAGTAAAAATAGCTCAGAACTGCTTTCCATGTATAGTACATCAGATTAGGCCTTGGACCCAAGGTGTTCTGTTATTTGAGTCTTTCAGTATCATTGCCTGGGAGGAGGCATCATTGCCTAAGTAGCTAATGATAACTAGAATAACAAAAAACAGTCCAGCTCCAGGCACCTGTCTTGGTCTTTTGGAGAAAATGCAGAATACATGGAAACTATAGGAAGACTATAATCCGCAGTTTCCAGTTGGGAAAAAGAATGGGAACCTGTGTAGCTGAACCCCTGCAGGCACCAGTCCGGGGTGTGACCATGGCTAGGCAGATCAGAAAAATGCTGAAGTGAACAGAATCTGGGCTCCTTCATCCAAATGGTCCTTTGGTTTGGGCTGTCACTCCTCTAGAGACCCATAACTGAGCTGGAAAGGCCCCACGAAGCACCACAAAAAATAATCAGAATCAATGAAAGGAGAGCTCAGAAATTTAAAGCTCTTCCATTTGAACAAATGAAATCTGAGTAGATAATAGAGTGAACCTAGTATCTTCTGATGCTCAGACTAGAAGAATCTCCAGAAACTTTAGAGAGGATAAAGCTTTTATTCTAAGCTGTGGTGTGTGGCCTGAAGATATAAATAGGTTGCTGAGGGCTAGAGGTCCCGATATGTTTCACTAATGTATTGAAGGAAAGGAAAGATATTGAAGGCCACATTGCCAGCTTTTACCATTTGACATTATAAAGAAACCTCCATGGCAGGATCCTTTGGTATCTGTTAACCAGTAATTGTTGGTGCCATAGTCAGAGACCAAGCACCAGGCTGGACCAATCACATGATTTCTGTTGTTACCAAGGTTTGTCAGGAGTCTGGAATAGTTTTAGGACTTTAGTAGAAGGGTTCTAATCTATTCCAGGATGATTAGGTCCAGGGTCTTCAGATTATTTAAATACCCTTTCCCAGTGGGAATTTAAATCCTGGAGTCAGCATTTTAGCTTTTCAGCAGAGTGGCTGGCAGCTAGCAAGCATGATGGATAATGTTTGCCATTAGACTGGCCATAGGTCATTGGCTTCTGCCCTCCCCCACAAGACTTTGCAAACCTCTACCAGACTGAACCCTGTTCTGTACCTGCATCTTCACCCAGGCAGGCAGTAGACACTGGAAGCAGGGTCTCTGGCTCATTAGTGCCTGGAGGTGCTATGACAGAACCTTCATGTCAAATATGGAAATCCCTTGTCTCTTATCTCAAAAATTAACTTTGTAAAGCTTCATATTTATGACATCCTTAAGTTGGCCTATGCATCATTATTTACCCCTCTTGCTCAGGTAATTCAGGGACAATATATGACCTCATTCTTTTCATTACCCACTCTCATACCAACTGTAATGTCAGTCCTGCACTGTGCCCCATCCAACACCCTCTGTCTTCCCCCTATCTGTGCAGCCCTCCTTCTCTCCTGGCTGCTTAAGAGAACAGAAGTTGCCTGCACATCCCAAGCCACTTCTCATCACCTTTCTCCCTTCTGGCAGGAGCCTGTGGTTTGCAGACCGCCCCATCAGGGCTGCAGCCCAGGCCTCTGCCATTTGAGCGCCCAGGGCTATGTAGCGGCACTAGGGGGCAGCCCAGGGACACTCTAGGACCCAGGAAATGGGCACTTGGGTAAAGTTGCAGACCTTCTGGAGGACTTCAGAGCCAAGATTGCAGCAGCATTCCAGGCAGTGCCTTAATATTTGCAAAGCTCAATATATTTAAATGACAGTAGCTGGCTCAGTGGCACATACACATCCTCCCAACTCTTCAGCAGGCTGAGGTGAGAGGATTGCTTGATCCCAGGGGTCCAGCCGAGGTAACATAGCAGTGAAGCCCTTCCTGAAAAAATAAATAAATAAATAAATAAATTTAAACGATAATAATATGGCAAAACTTCTGCAGCTATTTTTGAAGCCAATATGCACATAATATTTCATTTTAAAATAGGCATTGTACATTGTTTCCATTTTGTGTAGGACTTTCTGCAGTGTTTCCCCCCCACCCGCCCCAGTCATGAATAGGTTGACTATGGCATCTTCTGCCTGGCTGATAATTCCCAAAAATACATAGAAATAGTCCTAAAGGAGCCATTTCTTAGAGCTGTACAGACCACTTGGGGCCTGGGTAAAACCTGGAACAATAAAAAGAACAATGTTATTGTGGCATCTCCCCTGTCTCCCTGGCCAAATGATGCTGGTGCTGTTAGAGTACAGCCTTCCAGCTAAAAAGGCCTTAATCCTATAGCTGGGACAGCTTCTGTTACATGACCCAAACTTGATTTGCCAGGTTTTACACCCTGGAAGGAGACCCTTGATGAAGTCATTCTGGAGGACATAAGTACAAGAAAACAGTAACCTGTTTTGATAACATGAACTGGGACAAGGCGACCACAGTTATCAACAGTAGAAAACTGTAGAAGAGAATAAGAACATAATCCTGAAAAAATATATATATCAGTAAGCATACAGTTTTTGAGACATTTGGCTAGGATATGGTACTTCTTTTAATGGTATCAGAAGTCTACATTTTGTTGTAATTTGTTCAAATTGTTTAATAAGTTTGGAGAGGGTGTCACATTGTCGTGTTTAGTATACTTAAAGCTTTGTTTTTTCTCTAGTAAAATTTCACTGCTTTTCAAAGCTTGACCCAGCCTTAGTTAGGGCAAAACTATTTGCTAGATTCTCTTCTTAGTGATCTCTAAAGATTTCCAGCAGCCTTAAGATCCAGCATCGACCCTTGCTTCTGACCTCCAGGCCTCCCTTGGCATCTCCATTTTCCATGTTTCTTCCTCTCCTCTCTGCCTGACTCTTCTCAGCCTCGTCCTTCCTGAGGACACAATCACTGCTTCCTATTATGCCCTCATTCTCTGGATTGCTTCAGATTTCCTTTGTTGTGGGATATGTTGAACCAAACATTTGCCGTGTTGTTTGGTGTGCGTTTTGTGCAATCTCCATAATCCCTTCTTTTCCAAGAGGTAACTGTTCACTGAATACATGTTCTTCTCCCTGTTGATGTGAGCAAGTCTGAGGCTGGAACCAAAGAGGGCAGCAGAGAAAACAGAAGAACATAAATGAATTCCTATTGCTTTTCTTCTAGGTTGCTTCATTTGTGTTCTCTTCTCTTAACTGATTCAGATATGTGGGCAAGGACTATTCAGCTGCTCAGGAATTAATGGAAGATGAGATGAAGGAATATTACAGTAAGAATCCTAAGGTCACACCAGTCCAGGCCGTGCACGTTGGGCAGTTGCTGGCCATAAATGCCGAGGAGGATGCCTGGTTACGGGCACAGGTCATCTCAACAGAAGAGAACAAAATAAAGGCAAGCACTGTTTACTTTGTCATAGCATCATGGACACAAATACCTTATTATTTTCCAAATGTAAATATTCTTTACATTTTTCAAATGTAAGTGTTGTATCCTATAACTATATGTAGTTTTCAATGGAAGTTTAAAAGATAGTATCTGTAAAAGGTTATCCCTGTCATCCTTTGAATTTGTAGTAGTCATACTATCTCAAGAGTTTTAGTTAAAAAAAAATAAATTCTCCATGGGAGTATCCATAACCCATTATCCAATCAGGGAAAGACACTTCCTGTTCCCAGGGGATGTACAATGACTACTGACCAAGCTCTGTGGGCCTCTTATCAAGGCCAGTACTTTGGAGTGAGGGAAACCATAAGACCACAGGAGGCAATTCTTCCTCTCCTTCTTCTGTAGCCTAGACCCAGATCCTTCTCCACAGCTGCTCCTGGCGTAGCCCTCTTCACCCTCTTGGAAAGGCCAGTGGGCCCTTTTGCCTCTCTCTTCCATCAGCAGACTCTTAAGACTTCTGGGCTTGGCTACATTCGTGGATATCAGCCCCTGCCCTTTGCCTCTTCATACCATCAATCCAGAGACCAAAATGCACAGATTCCCCGAGAGCGGCATTATCTCAGGGCCTTGGAACTGCCAGATAAAATGCAGAGAAATTACATATTAGCTCCATGTGCTGTGTGGTCAGTTGTCCTAGTCTACTTTTAATGTGTTTCTGCTTTCTGTCTTGGTGGAAGCTGTGTGTCTGTTTGGAATTTATCCTTTGAATATTGGGCCTGCTACTTTATATAGAGAATTTGGAGGGAGAGAAAGTCTTTTCTTTCTTGATTGTTAAGATGTCTCCCTTCTCTAAAGGGAAATGTGCTTTAAGACTTGGATTCATTTCTGTCTTTCATAATGGGAAGGATACTGTGTAGAAGGGTAACCCTAGTTCACTTCTATAGTCCCTTGTATTTATATGGAGCACTCTTGGATCATGAGGGAAACATGTCTAAGATCTTTCGGTTTTCTCTAGATTTTGCAAGCAGGGAAATATGCTTCTACTTCTGCAGCCTCTGTTCCATAATACAAAACCATATTCCAGGGTCACTGTCAGCCGCCACCCAGTAATCCCATATGTGTCATTGAGTGCAAATGACCAGTCCCTGACCCAGGCTTAAGTCCATCAGTTATTGGCCACTGAACCCCCTGCCTCAGGTGGAGTTAGGAGGTCAGAAAGGAATACTGCTGTTTCTTAACCAGATTGCTCAATAGGAGAGGCCCCGACCCTCTCCAAAAGTAAGCTCACCCAACCACCAAGCCACCCTTTCCCATTTGCAGAGCCATTTAGGAAATTTACTAGCCAAATCTACAGACGCACAAATGTTAAGTAATTTGGCTGACTTAAAAAATCTGAAAATTGGAAAATAGCTTGGCAGTTTCTTATAAACTTGAGCATGTTATATGACCCAGCATTCACACTCCTGGGCATATATATTTTAGAGAAATCAAAACTTGGGTTCACATAGTAATCGTACATGAATGNCTTATAAACACTTAGCATATGATCCAGAAGGGCCACAAGGTATCTTGTACATACGTGTCTGTTGGGGCATTATTATTAATAGCCCCAAACTGGACACGGCCCAAATATTCACCAACAGGTGAATCATAGAAATGAGTTATAGTGTAGTGGAACTGTGTTCAACAGTAAAAAGGAATTAACTACTGATAGGAACAGTTTCATGGACAAATCTCACAGACTTTGTGCTGAGCAAAAGAAGCCAGGCACAAGAGAGTAATGTTGTATGATTTCATATAAATGATGTATAACAACAGGTAAAATTCATCTACAGTGATAGAAATCAGATCAGTGGTTACCTGGGACAGGAGGTGGATGGGGGCTAATTGCAAAGTTGCCGGCAAGAGAAAACTTTTTGGGCTGGTGTAAATGGTCTATGTGTTGATTATGGTGATAATTATATGGATGTATACATTGGTCAAAGCCCATCAAACTGTATGGTAAACAGCTCTCTTTTATTCAGCATAAGTTATATTTGGATAAAGTTTGAAACAAATGTGGAAGAAGCTAAGGACCACGATGATCACTGGACCGGTGGAGAACACAGGGCTCAGACACCAGTCCAGCCTGCCTGTATTTGGATGTGTGCCTTTGGTCAAGTCCCTTCATTCCTCTGGGTCTCTAGTTGATAACAGATAACTATCCCTAAACGTTCCTACATAAACTTCTATTTCCTGGCCATTTATCTCCCCTGGCCCTTAGGAAATTCAACAAAAGCTAACCTATTTTAAGGCACAGGGATTTCTTATGAAGAGAAGAATCATACATACATCCTAGTGACACATTAACAGTGTAACAGTATTTACAATAAATAACGCCAGTATTCCACAACAGTATCTCCCAATCTGAAGTCTATAGGGCAGTCACTTTCTTTTCTCCCTTCCTCCTTCTACTTTGGGACTTCAAGCTCTCATGTTGGATAGAACTGAGTCTCAGCTCTGCCATTTTTAGCTGTGTGGCCTTAGGAAAGTTGTTTAACTTCCCTGATTGTTTATCTGTAAATTCAGATAGTCACATCATGTTGTAACTGCCTGATACACCTTTTCACTATTCTGGAGCCAGGAACAAAACAGACAAGTCCTTGTTCTCAAGAAGCTTACATTCTAGTGAGAAAAGACAGATGATAAGTGTACAATAAACACACAAAACAATTTTAGTACAAGGAAGGAAATAACCAAGGTACTATGATAGAAAATAACTCTGAAGGAAGAGATAAGCAGAGTGATGTGATCTTATTTAGATGCTTCAGAAATCATTCTGGGACTGTTGGGGAACAGTTTGTATTATAGTAGGGCACAGAAGGAAAGTAATACTGGTTAGCTGGCTATTGTAATAGCCAGCTACCTTGTCACCTAGATTAGTGAAGATGGAGGTAGTGGAAGAGATTCAGGATGTATTTGGAGGTAGAACTGACAGGACAATAACTTGTTGGAAGTGGGTGGTAAGCAAAAGAGAAGATTCAAGATAGCTACTGGGTTTGAGGCTTGAGCAATTGATTGGATATTGGTGCCATTGTTGAAATTGGGAAATCAGAGACAAAAACCATTATGGAGAACAATTGAGAATTTCGTAGGACCTACTAGGTTTGAGAATGGCTATCAGATGTCACATGGATGAATTTGGAGCTCAGAAGCAGTTAGGACTGGGGATGTGTCCGGTTGGGAGGTATCAGTGTATAGGTGCTATGTGAAGTCACGGGTCGAGATGGGATCACCTAGAGAGAGAATACACATAGAGAGGAAGAGGGCCCTAGGGCCAAGTCCTAAAACCCTTCAGCATTTACATGGAGGCATAAGGGGAGCAGAGAAGCATGCAAAGATGGCCAAAGAAGAAAAAGCAAGAGAGTGGTATCACAGAAGCCAGAAAAAGGAAGCATCTCTCGTAGAAGGGAGCAACCAGCCTGTCATTACTGCTGAGAGTTATGGGCTGGCCGTGAAGAATAAAAAAGGTGGCTTGGTATCTTGTGCAGTAGCAAGCGCTTGTGACAGCAGTGATTGGAGCAATCTGGGCCTGAACTTGTTCCCCATATTCCCATGAAGCTGACAGAGACTATTTCTCCCTTTATTTGGAGAAACTCCAGCTACTTAGTACCAGTCTTGCTTCATTTGAATTGAACTTTGGCTGGTAGTGGATACCGATTCCCTCTTTGCCTTCCCTGTCAGATCCTTGGTGAGTAGGAGAAACCGGATGATGTGATTACCCACTGAGGCTGGTGCCAGTTTGGCCTGACTGAGGTCCACATCCCAGGGGTGTCTGCTGGTGATGCTGGGAGACCTTTGGCCACTTGATGGTGCCAGAGAACCAGGAATAGACTGGGGCCTCATGCCAGGATTATGTGACTACTGGCCCTGATCCCAGGACATTAGAGAGAAAGAGAGATTACTGAGCCCTCACAGAATGAAGGACACAGGGGACGGTGTGGTGAGAGTCACACTGGACAATGCATGGACAAGTGTTTTATAAACTGCAGTTGCCATACAAATATGTGATATTATGATTAAAAATGAGGAAGAAGAGAAACAAGCTACAAACAGTTCAGAAACACTTTGAAGCTTTTGGAGCAGTTATTTTTTAATCTGTTTTTGCGCTGAGAATACATCCTGAATTTCCCAGGAGTCATGATTTTGCACGCTATGTCCTATTGTTAGACCATGTTATCTTCATTTTTGGGCCTGGGAAGAACAGTCTAAATTGTAGATGGTGATAGCTATTAAAGGAAATGAGAGCTGCCTGACTCCTGAGGCCTATGAGAAGCAAAAACAGGTGCTAATTTAGGATTGGAGAAATAGACTTGTGCACTTAAATGGCCAGCTGCCTGATGTGCAGCCCTGCCAGCAATCTAGGCCTAAGTCAGTGTTGAGTCAGATGTGGATTCTAAGAGATGATCTTTCTGATATGGTGTAGAAATGCCCCACAGGCTCACTTATCACATGGCCAGGGAAAGGAGTTAGTGGTGTCTTCTGCTTTTTTTCCTTGGAGTCTCTGCTGGGGAGGGTTTTTGTTCTGTGTGTTTAGTACTATAATCTAGGTACTAAGAAGCTGGCCTATGGACTTTATATTCAGGGAGGAAGTCAAAGAAACCTACTTCATGTTACTTGGTATTTCTTAGCCAAGACTTTGCCCTGGTTTTTGTTGTTCTTTTGTTTTGCTTTGTTTTTGTTTGTTTGTTTAAAAAATAACCATCATTTGCTTTAATTAGAGATGTTGCATAGTAGATTTTCAACATTTTCCCTTAGATTCTTAGTTACTATCCTAAACCATAGCTTAATGTTTCTAGATTTTTATTTTTCTCAAAAGCCTTTGTGTTTAGATAATCTTTTTAAACTGAAGGTTCTGTAAATACTCTTAAAAATAATATTCAGGCTCTTAATAATCTGTGCTAATGGTGAGGAAAAGTCAAGCAGGTTTCTGCAAACACAGACCTCTGTCCAGCAGACTTAGGGCCTTTTGCTGAGTTGGATGAAGGCCCAACCCAGCTTCACACCCTTGAAAAAAATAGGTACACCTATTTTTCAGTTTAGAATTCCATGTTGTTCAGCTGTGATACTATTGTTGTCATTGATGAAGTATCTCGGTCCCTGGAAGCACAGTAGCTGAGAGCAGCCATCACAAATGCTGCTTTGGGGATTTAGAATCTGATAAGTACTGCAAGGATGATGCCTGCTGTAGAAACAAATACTGCTGTCCAGGGAACAGGTGGAAGTGTGTAACTCAAAAAAGAATAAGCTGATGCAGGTGTCATGATAGTAATGGAAGTACCAAAGGGGAGGGGAGCAGAGCTGGCAGAACGAGGTAGATATGCTGCTGAGAGACCGGCAATAGCAAGGTGGCAGGGCTGAGCAGTCTTGTTCTTCCCATTGAGGGGTAGAGTGAGGTAGAGAACTAGGGCCTGGAACCAGTAGCGCTGGTTTCCTTGGTCTCAGCTTCAGCCTTTCTCTTCTGTGGTAAGTCAGGGGCACCTCCGCAGCTTTTTCCAGGTGCCGCTGTACCACTCAGCTTGCTGATTATGGAATAAAATTGAGCCAATCAAGTGTATCAAATGAATTTTTTAAAGAGAGGATGAAGAACTAAACGGTTTTTTTTTTAAATCATTAGGTATGCTATGTTGACTATGGTTTTAGTGAAAATGTTGAAAAGAGCAAAGCATACAAATTAAATCCGAAGTTTTGTTCACTCTCATTTCAAGCTACGAAATGTAAGCTTGCAGGTAAGAGGAACTTTTTTTATAACTCCTCCATTTCGATAGGTTATTACCACTCTACTTTTGGATGGTTGAATATAAAATGGACTAAGTATCTTGTGTTATCATGTGTTATTTCTTGAAAGGTTTAAATAAATTCATGTCAAATGTGTTTTTATAAGATATTATAAAAATATTATGTTTTTATATTTTATGTTATATATAAAAACGTCTATTAGCCATCTTGAAAGGATTTTTCTTGTTCTGACTACCCTAGTAACAATTGATAGAGGCCCTGTTTCATGACATTTGATCAGTTTCAGTACGTTGTTCAGCGTGTTGCTAGGTGACTCTCAGCCCCTTTCCTGCTGAGATGGACTGTGGTGATGCTTAGGAGTGACACACCTTTATGTACCCAAGCATGAGTTTGATTATAGGTCACATGCAGCTTCTTGCATAGTACATGTATCTTGTCCTTTTCCTTCCTCCTAGATTAGGAAACAGAGGAATCCACTTGAATGAAACTTAAAGACAGAGGACACATTGGTCATGTTCATGATTTAAAAAAAAAAAAAGGCATTGAAATATGCACCATGCCAGGGGATCTTGTGTCAAATGCAGAAAATAATCATAATTATTTCATGAAAATTAGTACCTGAAGAAATGCCTCCTCCCCAGTGGGATGAATTCTTATGTCACAGGAGCCTGGTTTGACTCTTATCTGTGAGATAAACCTGAAGAAATTTTTAAAACTTACTAAAAACTTTTAGAAGTTGGTTTTGGTAAGAATGTACCAAGAGCATAGGACAGGATTTCAGGTGTTGAAATTAAATGTTTGAGAAAAATTCAAAGTTGTATGTCTGGAGAACAGAACAAGACAAAGAAAAAACTTAGGAGGAGTCTGAATTTTAGCTTGTGGATTTAAAGTAGTAAAATATAGAAATAGGCAGCATAGTACCATTAGGGGAAATATGAACTAGTTTTTATTAGTTTAATACGTTAACTTAGAATTGTCTTATGTGTTATATGGAACTACAGTTTTCCAATAATTTAAAGAGTAGGTGGACTACAACAAAATTCACCTAGTACCTGTGTTATGTTAAACACTGTTTAATCTCTCTTTCATAAATCAGAAAGTTCTTTGGTATCCTAAGGGTCATAATGGCATACTTTTTTTAAAAAAAGAAACAATAGTGATTGTCTCAATTTCCAATAAATATGTGTTCATTTTATAAGAAAAAAAATGTATATGTAGGAAGTGCATTAAAAATATATGACTGGGAGACATGACTGACTGCTTCTCATGTGTATTAGTCTTTTTGTTTTAAATATGTGTTCAGGTATAAAGTGAAGACTGTTTCTCCCAAGATAGAAATTCTGATTATCCATTTTTCTGCTTGTTTTAAGAATGCCTGCCTTAGTGTATCATTCAAAAGGGCATTCACATTATATTTTTTTAAAACCTAAGAGGTAAGATAAAGATTATAAAACAAAGCTTTCATATAAAATTGAATAATTTTGCAGTAGGCTTATAATTTTGATACTGGTCAAAAAAGACACAATTCATCTACTCATCTTGAAATGATTTTGCTAATTAAGTAGAAATTAAAACATTCAATATTTTTCAGGCTTGGAAGTCCTAAGCGATGACCCTGATCTAGTGAAGGTGGTTGAATCTTTAACTTGTGGAAAGATCTTTGCAGTGGAAATACTTGACAAAGCTGATATTCCACTTGTTGTTCTGTATGATACCTCTGGAGAAGATGATATCAATATCAATGCCTCCTGCTTGAAGGCTATATGTGACAAGTCACTAGAGGTTCACCTGCAGGTACCACTGTGATCATTGTTGCTTGTTACACATATTGTATGAGAGAAAATCACCAGAATATTACACATTTTAGGCTAACAATTGAGACAGATTACATCTACATTGAGGGGGGAAAAATGTAGGCAGTGGGGCTGGAAAGGAAAAAAAAGTACCAAAACATTCAGAGTAATTTTTTCTTAGGAATTGGATTTTTTATTTTCCAGTTCCTGCAGTGAGCATCTATTGATTTTATGAGAGATTATTTTGTAAGATAATAAGGAAAAATAACACAAAAGAAGGGTCAATGAAGATGTTTATGGACCCCCGAAAAATTGGGTCTATGAAGATGTTTATTACTTGCTTTAACATTTTATTAACTTTTTAAAAATGTGAATAACATAAATGTCCCCAAAGAAGGAAGCCTTTAAATAAATTATAGAATATCTACTCAAGAGAATAGAATGAAATGTTAAAAATGGTCATTTTAAAGACTTCATAGAAACGGTGGGAAAACTTTTGTTTTAATAAGTAAAATGACTGTGAATGTNTCAAGAGAATAGAATGAAATGTTAAAAATGGTCATTTTAAAGACTTCATAGAAACGGTGGGAAAACTTTTGTTTTAATAAGTAAAATGACTGTGATTGTGGTTTGACTAAAAATGGGTAAAATTAAATATGTATTTTGATTATGATTTTTAAAAATGACTCAAATTCATGTGGCCTGTGGACGTAGGCTAGAAAGTAGGCTGATGGATTTGATTTTGTGAGAGTTTATTTTAACTTCTGTTAATGTTGCAAAACATGGTTTATGTAATTCTTTTTCTAAATAAATGGGGAGAAAATAAGCCAACATTAAAGATATTCTTAGCCTTTCAGACAATGGAATGTGGGAATGTATGCACAATGTCTATTTTGTGCTTGACACAAATGATATTAGCTATTTCTTTTAAAAAGAGAATAATTCAAATTAGTTTTGTACATTTAAGCTATAAATTGCATCTCATCTTACATATACTCTAAGATTTTAAAATGCAGAGACTTACAATGGGATGTTTAGGTAGATACTCTTTAGGTAGGCAAGAGCTGCATTCTGTTCTCAAGCATTCACGAGATGTCCTTTGTCTGTTATAGGTTGACGCCATGTACACAAATGTCAAAGTGACTAATATTTGCTCTGATGGGACACTCTACTGCCAGGTGCCTTGTAAGGGTCTGAACAAGCTCAGTGACCTTCTACATAAAATAGAAGACTACTTCCATTGCAAGGTATAGCAGAACCTCTTCTACCTCTAAAATGAGCCCTAAAATTACAAACAAGAGTAATTTACTAAATGGAGTAAATATGAAGAATTTTTTAGTAGTCTGAAATGGAATCTCTAGAATAGTAAGTAAGAGCTCCGAATTTCAGAGCTTTAAAAGAAGAACACAACACTGGTTTCTGCTGGTTTCTGTTATCTTCTGTAAAATGAGGATAGCAGTAGTGTCTATCCTAGGATTGTCCTGAGGACACCGTGCCTGGCATATAGTAAGTGCTCAGCAATCGGTAGATGTGTTATTTATAACATGCAGTTGATAATCCCCCGGTGCAGCTGCCTGTGACTGTCTGCTAGAGCCAGCTGACTCTTGTGCCTCAGGCAAGGAGAAACCTTAGAATTTAGAAGGAGAATAAAACTTTCTTCCTTAATTCCGCCTTCATCTTTCTCCACAGACATCACTCCTTGAGCTCTTATGGACCCTGAGAACCTACCACCTGATAAATGTGGTTCTGCGGTTCAAATTGTATTAATAAACTCCTTATCCTTTAATTCTAGTATTTCTGAATCAAACTCTGTAGAGGTTTTATTGTGTTTTAAGTTTTTAAAAAGGTTTCCATACCTCCATTAGGACATTGTGGTTGTATTTCAGAATATGCTATGGTTTTCAAATCACTAAGCCCTACTACCACTTCTGCCCTTATCCCCTCATCCCTGGAAGTGAACCCTTCCCTCTAACTCACAAAGCACATCAGGCATATCAGGGCATTTATGTTCAGGTTTGTATTTTAGCTATTTGGGTACTTAACTTGCCTTTGTAGAGTGTCTGGTTCTTGAGAGCATAGACTATGCGTTACCAATTTTCTGCATCCCTTACAGTACCTAATCTAGTGTCTTATGTAGAATATATATGCCAAAATATGCACTGAATCAGGTTAAACCTGCATTTAAAGTACAGTCTGGAATTGAGACATTCCTGTAGCTTTATCTTGTTCTGTTTACAGAGGTTTAATTTTAAGTCTACCTTGGAAAAATCTGAAACCCCCTAGCTTGGCTGATCTGAAACCACCCAGCTTGGCTGACTCCAGAGACTCATTTGTATAGATGTTGTCCTTATAACCTATGGTGGTGAAAAGGACTCAATATTTCCTACTGCATTTGTAACCTAAGTGAGATAGTGCCTTTAGGGAGAGTAGAAACACACACCCTGAACAGAAAGAGACCATGGACAGGTACCCCCAACTTCAAACTATAGCAGAAGAGGAAAATGAGGAGACCTCATTTTTATAGCTGTGATTTGTTGATATTTAACTGGCACTGACATACATATTTATGTTGATAACATTTCTCTTGTTTTGGAATTAAGATGTTATCTTTGCATCTAAATGTGAAGAGATGAAAAGAATAGGCCTTACAGATGACTAGCACAACCTCCTCACTTTTCATCCATGTTGCCCTCCTTTTTGTCAGGTTCAACACCTCTCTTCTTGTGTAATTGATGGAGCCAGTGCCTAAACGAATCATGATGATCTCTATGCTAATGTTTTTAGACATTTTAACAATGCTGTTTTATGAGCCATGTGCGTGTAGGGAGAGTAAACTACTGACGTCAACAAATATATGAGTAACAAGTCAAAAGTTTTATAACCCTGTGTATTTGCTGCATCCATTGCAGTGCGCTCCCTGTGGGGAAAGGGCTCACAGGAAGTCTGATTACATGTGAGTTAAGTCTGCTAGTGCCACAGTGATCTGTTTTTCTAATGGTGTAGCAATATGCTCTTTGCTAAGAGTAATAAGAGTATCATGCATTTCTGTTTTGTAGCACATGACCTCCGAGTGCTTTGTTTCATTACCCTTCTGTGGGAAAATCTGCCTCTTCCATTGCAAAGGAAAATGGTTACGAGTAGAGGTAAAAATCAGTCACTTGGCTTTTTAATCTTAACTTATTGTGAAATATTTCAAATATACACGTAGGTTTTTTAAAAAGTGGAATAAACAGTCACAGATTCGTCATCAGTTTGAAATAAAACATGACCAGTATGGGTGAAGTTTTCTGATTGAAGTTATGGTCAAACAAAGTTTACATCTCCTTGCTCCTGCCTCCACTCCCAGTTTTATTTGTTTTTTTTCCCTCATTCTTACTTGTTTATATTATTACTGCATTTGTACCTATAGACACACACTTTTATTATATGTTTTTAATGTTTAGATACTGGAAGTATATTAATGAATATGTGTATAGAATATAAAAGTAAATGAATAAGTATAACTAAATAAATAAATATTTTCAGACTTTAAGTGGTAAGATGTATTGGTCATGCTTTTTCATGATGTTTGTGAGATTCGTTCATGTTGATGTGTGCAGCTCTAGTTCATCTTTTTTTACTGCTGTATGATTCAACAGTATAAATATGCAGCGTTATCACTCCATCTTCCTGATGATGAATATTTAGATTGTTCCTAATTTTGTGAACCTTCCTTTCCGTGTCTTCCAGGGTACATACATAGGAATGGAGTTTCTAGGTATTGGGAATGCATATCTTTAATTTTACTAGATCTTGCTTAATTGTTCTTCAAATTTGCTCTTCCATTGAGAGTATATCCCTTTAAGAACTGTGGCTTCATGGGGCAATCTCAGATCCTCCCTGCCTCCTGCCTGGATCTAAGGCCATGTCTCCTGCCCAGGACAATTTTGGCTTTAATGTTCACATACTCTTCTGTTTCTAATCACTAAACAGTTGTCATATTTTCTTGTAAGCTCAGTTATTAACTTGAAAGGAGGTTTGTTATGGTGTATCTTGTATTTCTATATGTTTTTAAAAAGGCAGGTTTTGGATTTTTGTGGTTGATTTTCCTCCCTCCCTCCATCTAGTTTGAGGTGGATCACACCTGTAATCTCAGCCCTTTGGGAGGCCAAGGCAGGAGGATCACTTGATGTCAGGAGTTTGAGACCAAACTTGGCAAAGTAGTGAGATACTATCTCTACAAAACCAAAAAAATAAAAATAAATAAAAAATAAAACAAAAGGCTTAAAAAAATTAAGAAAAAGTGGGCTTTTTTTTTTTCTTTTTTTTCCCTTTGATACAGAAGTTCTTAACCTAGGTGCAAGGACCTCTACTTTCAGGGGGTCCCTCAACCCTCCTGGAATTGTTGCAAATTGTGTGTGTGCTTGTATTATATATTTTGGGGGGAAATGTATGCATAATTTTTATAACATTCTCAACCCCCACAAGATAAGAATCATTGCTTTATTGAATTTTTAAATGCTACACAGCAACATTTTGATAACTTAATTGTAGTGATTTTTTTCATTATTTAAATAAAATGGTTATGTCTACTTTAATAAAAGCAGCAGTTTTGAAGTAATTACTGCTATTAATGTGAATGTATGTCAGAAGGCCGAAATCTTGGGTCATATGACCAAGGGTTATGTGCGTAGGTATAAACTTCAAAAACATGACTCATTGAAAAGATCATGGCATTCTTCAGATCTTAAAGCTCTGTGTTATTTAGTTTAAAATATATAAATGTATGAATACTAATTTTTTTAACTTTTTATTTTGAAATAATTTTACTGTTGCAAAAATAGCACCAAGAGGTCTTGTTGGCCTTTTGCCATCTGCAGATGTTAACATCTATATAACCACTGCATAATTGTCAAATTCAGGAAATTGACACAATACAAAACCATTAATTAATCCACAGAACTTACATTTCCTGAATTGTCCCACAAAGTCCTTTTTCTGGTCCAGCATCCAATCCCAGATTCTGCATTACCTTTAGTTGGCGTGCGTTCTTAGTATCCTCCAGCCTGGCAGTTGCTCAGTCTTTCTTTTGCTGTTCCTGACTTTTGAAGAATAGCACTGTTTTTTAAAGTATCTCACAATTTGAGTATCTTCATGTTTAAATTTAGGTTATGCATTTTTGGCAAAAAGAAGCCTTCTCAGTTTATGTCCACATACTTTAGATAAATGCCTAGTATTATTTTTTTATTATTATCAAATTACGTATTGTATGCCTTCAACATAGACAAAAGGTTTGAGTACACATTTTCTTAGTGATGTATGGAAAGTCAGGGAAGAAAAAGTAATTAGTGAAAAGCAGACCCCATGTTTAATTGTGTATTTATTCCTGATAGTTATACAAATAATTGCAAAGGTAATCATTGCTTTGACCCCAAAACAATAGTTTTTCCCTTTTATTTTAATATTTTGGAGAACAGACTGTATCTTATAATCAGCAATTATCAAATAATTTTATAATAAATCATGTCCTAGAATTAGAGAAATAATAACTATATTTTACTGTTTATTATCAATTTGCTGATTAGATTAACTCAATGTTGAAAGCGATTCTACTCTAAAAGAATATTTAGTAGGCCAGGTGTGGTGGCTTATGCCTATAATCCCAGCACTTTGGGAGGCTGAGATGGGTGGATCATTTGAGGTCAGGAGTTTGAGACCAGCCTAGCCAGCATGGTGAAACCCACCATACCTCTACTAAAAATACAAAAAAATCAGCTGGGTGTAGTGACAGAAACCTGTAATCCCAGCTACTTGGGAGGCTGAGGCAGGAGAATAGCTTGAACCCAGCAAGTGGAGGTTTCAGTGAGCTGAGATCATGCCGCTGCACTCCAGCCTGGGCAACAGAGCGACAGTCCATTTCCATCTCAAAAAAAAAAGAATAGTAAATAAATACATTTTAAATTAAGGGAAAATTTTAACACTGATAGTCTGTTGCTTTTAATATGCAGTTCAGGATTGTACAAAATGTAATTGCACAGAAGCACTTTGGTCTTTTGAATATGCTCATAAATTAGCCAACACTTATCTCATTTCAGATCACAAACGTTCACAGCAGTCGGGCTCTTGATGTTCAGTTCCTGGACTCTGGCACTGTGACATCTGTAAAAGTGTCAGAGCTCAGGGAAATTCCACCTCGGTTTCTACAAGAAATGATTGCAATACCACCTCAGGTACAATGTTGCCAGCCTGGGAGATTTGCTGGAACAGATTTGGATGTGTTCATAATCTTATTGTAAGATGCCTTCTCAGTTTTGATCTCATTAGTTAGTTTTTAAGAACATTGGAAGTTTTCCAAATGTGATTGTCTACTGGTTTTCAGAAGTAAAACGTGGCTGACTTAGACAAGAAGACCAGTCATATTTACAGAGTATTGCTTGAAAAATGTTTGTTTTCAGGAACATCCAGTCAGTAAGCTGCGTTGTCCAGTTACAGGTTCCATTTTGAAATTAGATGCCAGTACCAACTTCTACACAGTTCTAGGATATTGCATATAAATGTTTATTTTTAGAGTTTATAGTTTAATTAGGTAACCATTTTCTTTGGAAATCTGTTTAGACACATTTTCTCAATGATTTTTCCCCCCCGTAAATTTTAATTAAAAGATTAACTTCAGCTGATTATTTCCTTATTTGTGAATGTTCAGATCATAAGGATTTTGAATATTTTGAATTGTTTAGAACTACTCATTACCTTTAGGAGAAGTAGAGGATTTGTGCAGAAATTAATATCTTTAAAAAATAGAACTATTCAGCATTCTACAACTTCAAAATGCCCATTTACTGATATTTTCAAGAAGATATCTTTTGCCATTAAACTCAGTGAATAAAACATTGTTCATAATTAGCATGGCTTTTGACATGTCTCTCCCTCCCATCACCATTGCTTTTTCTAGCCATGACTATTACAGAGAAGCTTTTTTCAAAATCATTTTACTGTCTGTTGCTCAGCCGTAATTCTGGAAATTGATAGACCTTTAAGTGCTAGTCTGACTTAATTATACCACTTACTGGAACAACCATGCAGGGCCAGCCTTACCTAGAAAGGATCCCCTGGGCTGGAGGGCATTTGGGAATCTGTCCCACCACTCTGACTATCCGAAAGTCCACAACAGTACCACTTATATGCTACAGCATTTTAACAATCACTAAACTTTTTTTTTTTTTCATAAACTTATCTAGGTTTATTATCTGACAGATGTGAAGACTGCTGGTTGAGAAAACTTTAAAAGCTAGCTAGCCCAAGCCTCTGGCTCACAGCATCTCCCCAAGATCATAGTACCAAACCAATGGATTGTCAGCCAAAGCCAACCCTTAAATAATGAGTTTTGGCTCTTGGCTCTTACGGTATTTTAAAAATGTGAATTGGTTGCCAGGATTTTAAAATTAGAAAATTTCACACAAAAAATTCCTACTTGTAGCTTCTCTCAACAAATTGGAAAATCTGACGCTGCTACGCACTCTTCTTTGTGGGGCAGTGCTCCTTGGGAGTGTGGAGACTTCTGTGCTGGCCCCATCGGGCGTGCCCCACTCCCTCATTGCCTGCCCAGCAGATATTCAAGTGTGCTACCTTTGCTCTAAATGACCTCCTCTCCACCCAGAACAGAGTGAGAGGCTTAGATCCCCTGAGGGAGAAAGGCAGGAAGAGGGGAAGGGGCTCAGAGAAGAAAAGGAATCCTGGAACTGGGTTTCCTCCCTTTCACAAAATTGCTTTTGTCTATTCGAGTTTGCTGGAAGCTGAAGGAAATCCCTGAGTTCACCTTTTAGCCTCTGCTGTAGCCTCTCTACAGATGCTTATATAGTGATGGTAGGAGCTGAAAAGCACTGGGGAAAAGGAGGCTTTTAGGGACCTGTGGATTTATTTCAGTTCTTCTCACCCTCCTTAATTCTCATTACAGCCTCCTTCAAAAGGCAAGCAAATGTGCCTGGTACCCACGAGGTACTCAGGAAGTGCTGAATGAAGCAACAGGAGTCAGATTTCCTCCAAATGACAATTTTTTTTTTTTTTAAGTTGGGCTAGAGGGTCGACTTTGATAAAAGTTCCAACCCTGTCTTTGCAACTTTGGTATCTTATACAGTCTTTCTGAGTCCATTTCCCCGGCTGTGAAATGGGGCTGCAACATGCGGAGGTATTGTACAGTGTGAAGTATACGGAGTTCTTGGGGTTAGCCCTGGCTCATATAGAAGTAAAGACAATGGTATTTATAGAAATAGAGTTGGGAGCATAGCAGATCCTTGAAACAGGAACTGTGATTGTCATTATTAGCTGTTGTTGCTTGCTGTCTATCTCGGTAACATTTGATTTGTAGGAAAATAATATTAACATTACTCATAACTAGGTATTTTAACATGGTGTGTTCACTTTTTTATCATATTTTCTTTTCAGGCCATTAAGTGCTGTTTAGCGGATCTTCCACAATCTATTGGCATGTGGACACCAGATGCTGTGCTTTGGTTAAGAGATTCTGTTTTGAATTGCTCAGACTGTAGCATTAAGGTTAGTTATCTTATTAGGATTGATAGATTTAGAAAGGGAGCTGGCAGCCATCAGGGCTCATTTAGTTTTTGTGAAGGAATTTTATCTCACTGTAAAATGGATGCTTCCACATCTAACACATTTTTTATATTCAGGACATTGGCTACATGTGTAGCTGTAAGATATTTTATGGTTTAATTCTTTTTTTATTTAAGAAGTTATCCTAAGTCTCCAGTATTATTTTTAAACCCTTCTTATACTTTTTTCCATTATTAATATACCAGAGCTGGTTCTCCACTTCTATTTTGCTTCATGATAAGGAATTAAGTCTTCAACAAAGGGACCAAATATCTCTTGATAAATGTTTCTGAAGATCATTTAAATAAATCCTTTATTTTTTTTATTCATAAAGTAGAATATAAACCAATCATTTGTTTATAATTGTGGTGTTTAGCCTCTTTTTCCTAAAGTTTATTTAGTCTGCACTTATTTCACTACCTGTTTCTTTTTCTGTACTTTTGCATCTTTAAATCAAAAACATTGCTCATATTTCCAAGAATACAAACTTAAGAAGATAATTTTTTTCTCTGTTAACTGATGAAAATTGCATTATTGTTTTATATAAACATTTAAAATGAAATGTCCTTGAAAAATATCTTCATGAAGACCTCCAGATTATTCTAGCTAGCACTGATTTTTCTGTCTTTGTATTCCTCTGGGGTTTATTGTGTACAATTACATGTTTAATTATTTAAACATTTAAATTAAATTACATGTTTAATATAACTCTGTCATATTCTTCAGTTGTCACATAATACTGTTTTTTTCAGCTACTCTTTAAGTTCCTAAAGCCAGAATATTGGATGGTTACTCAATACAAATACTTTTTGCTAATTTTAAAAATTGTACTTCTGTATCATAAATATCAAAATGAATTTGCAGTCAGTATTTGATTAGTACTTCAGAGGATGAATTTAATAGAGTCATCTTGTTGGAAAAAAACATTTAAGTAAATTATTGTAGACGGGTTGCCTTACTGTTATCTTCCTCTCTCCAGGCCTATGTTCCTGCCTTTCATTTCCATCCCTATTTGGTAAAAGATAGATGTGGCTGGAAGTATCTTATTTTTATCATTCCTAAGATAAACCAGAGTTGCTGATGAGAATAGCCAACAGTCACCTAGCCCCTTGGGACACACAGCAATACAGTCCCAATTATTAATGTATGGTATTTCCATACAAACACCCCTCAGGCAGAAAGAATTAAGGTGGTTAGGTAGTCAGAAGCTCTCCTGGGCAAAAAGTGTAAAACTAATTTTGACCCGTTCTGTGAAGCTCGCTTCCTCTTATTCTCCCCAGGTCCCTCTCCTCCCATGTAATTGGAGATGGGGAAAGGGGAGAGGATATATACTAGAATCAGACAAAGAATTTGAAAGAGGGTTGCTTACAGATATGGTGGATGTCAGAGCTTTTTCCTTCCCTTCCCAGTCTTGAGGATACACCAGCCTTAAGCAGAATGCTCATAAATCGTTTTGCCATCATTGTGATTGTTTTTTATTATTGATGCTGGGTGATTAGTACATGGGGGTTTCATCATACTTATAATATATACTTTAAGTGTTTTGAAATGTCATTAATTTAAACTATTTTAATCATGATATATAGAATTCCTTTCTCTCAATGATAATGACCTATAGCAAGTTACAGTTTTCTCAGAGTTTTTAAAGATTAGGAAATTTTTTATTTCCATAAGGTGCACTGTTTCCTAGACTATTTTGACTTAGAGCCCATTCATTGCCAAGCTGTGATAATTTGTCTTTCCTTAAATAAAATGGATTTTAGCAAGTTTTTTGGCAAAATACTGTGTTTTAATGATTAAGGTTACTATAACTACCTCTAAAAATTTAATGTGAACTTGTATGTCCTGTATTTTTTTTTTTTTGTATTTTCCAAAGGTTACAAAAGTGGATGAAACCAGAGGGATTGCACATGTTTATTTGTTTACCCCTAAGAACTTCCCTGATCCTCATCGCAGTATTAATCGCCAGATTACAAATGCAGACTTGTGGAAGCATCAGAAGGATGTGTTTTTGAGTGCCATATCCAGTGGAGTTGGCTCTCCCGACAGCAAAAATGGCAACATGCCTGTGTCAGGCAACACTGGAGAGAATTTCAGAAAGAACCTCACAGATGTCATCAAAAAGTCCATGGTAGACCACACCGGCTCTTTCTCCACGGAGGAACTACCACCTCCTGTCCTCTTGTCAAAGCCAGGGGAACACATGGATGTGTATGTGCCTGTGGCCTGTCACCCAGGCTACTTCATCATCCAGCCTTGGCAGGAGATTCATAAATTGGAAGTTCTGATGGAAGAGATGATTCTGTATTACAGTGTGTCTGAAGAGCGCCACATAGTGGTGGAAAAAGACCAAGTGTATGCTGCAAAAGTGGAAAATAAGTAGGTCCTTGGACAAAGCATTTTATTCTACTCCTAAGAAAAATGTGTAAAATGATGCCAGTCTTAATCTTGTCAGGGGGACTTTGACCTGTACTAATGGGAATTTTGAATATGAAACAAACCCAGTAATTTTTGCGGTTTTCTAATATTTAAAACGATGTCATTTATAAAAAATATATTGGCCATATTCCTGTTAAAACCCAAGTATATAACTAAAATGAAAGTTTAACATTTTTTTCTATTTTTATATTAGGAAAATATTTTTATTTAGAAAATAACCAGGTTTTTTCATTTAATGACTTTTTATTTTAAAAATAAAATGTTTATTGTGGAAAATTTTTAAAATACAAAAAAGCATAAGAAATTAAAATCAACCACCCACACATAATACTTGTTAAACTACTTATGTATTTCCTCTAGTTTTATGTGTGCATATTTATATAGTTGGTATATTATTAGTCTATATAACTTTGTACCTGCTTTTTCATCTAACATTATGCTGTGAACATTTTTCCCTGTGATAAAATTTCTTCAGGCATCCTTATAATGGCTATTTTAATGATGACATACAGAATTCCTTTCTCCCAATGAAATCATAATTTACTTACCATTTTATTTGTTATGTAAGGTTTTTTCTCCTGTATTTTTCACTGTTATAATAGTGAACATAAATCTTTGCATTTCTGATTATTTGTGGGATAGATTCCTAGAAGAAAAATTACTTGTTGGAAGATGGCAAGACTCTTGCTTTATGTTGTTACCTGCATCCTGGCATCTTTGCCATCTTTCATCATGAGCAACAATGCTTATTTCACTACTCTTTGGCCTTGGGGTTGTGAGAACATACTTTCTCTTACATTTCTTTAGCACTTCAATCTTTTTTCTAATATTTTCACTCTTGAGTCCACAGCCCCCTCCCCAAAGCCCTTCAGGATATGCTGGTTTCATCCAAGTGAAGCCCAGACACCCCATTCTCCACTCAGGCCATGAAGCCTTGGGAAATGACACAATGCCCTGTCCTATTCCTTTGCCAGCTTGCCCAGGAGAAATGAACAAACTTACTTGTTGATACTGAACTCAAAGAACAGTCACGGCCCCCCAACACACACACCCCAAAACTCAGTTTGAAAGGTCAAACTGCTTATTTTCTTATATGAAATGTTTTCTTTCTTAAGACAGCAAGCATAGGCATATATAAAATTTTGTCATTTTCATGGGAGAAAAAGCCTAATTTTTAACTCTCAAAAGTGAAGAGTATAATAGCTCTCATTCTGAAAAAACATACAACTTGTATGCCATAAGCTTTTCATCTTTTAAAAAAATTTTTACCGTCATATTATTTGTAACTGCAAGCATAAATGAGTCTAATTTAGTTTGCATAGGTTGCCTCAATCAGAGCTCTTTGTAAGATAATTCAATCACAATTGAAAACCAAACTAATGTGATCATTTTCTGGG